CGCTGCTTGCTTTATGAGTTTTCAAAATTCGTGATGTTGGGAAAATCAGAAAACTTCTTCTGAAGCTTTCCGGAAAAGTTTACCACTCTAATTCTTTTGAATTTTAGTTTCATTCATATGACCATATCATCTATTTGTGGCCGAAATTACATAGCATTCTGGTAACCTTCGGCCCATTTTGTTCGATGTTACAAAAAATCATGACAGACAATGTGCAGTCTTCATCACCCGGGTACAGGGAACTTGCAAAACAAGAGCAAAATTATATAACATTTTACTATCAATATATTATTATTTTATTGTTGAGCTGTGCGCTAAAACAAGTTTATTGCTTACTCGGCTATCACAAAATAATTTGCTAGTGTTATGATATTTTTGATAGCAGAATAAGCTATTAAAATGTATTTTTTTGAGTGCCCCTCCACTTTTTCCACACCAAAAAGCTCCACGCTAAGCCCCTTGGTAGTGAACACTCAAAACTCAACCATAAGCAATACTACATGACACAAAAATTTGAAGAAAAATGGTTGAGAATTAGATATAAGATTTTAAATCAAAAAAACCCAACAGTTTAAACAATGTATGTGCTTCTAGTGTATTTATTATCCTTTGATAGAAGCACACCTGAATTAAATTAAATCCAATTACATACAATAGAATTTTCGATATGATAACCAAAAAAAAAAAATTAAAAGCCTAATGATTAACCGAAAACATATACAACATATATTGAAAAAAATAATTACTTGCACAATTCGCTCTTTCAAGAACATTAAGTCTATGTTTTGAAAGACAAAATATTTGTAATTTCTTGAAGATCTCTTGGTAGGTTACTAAATTTGGTAGGAACTATAAAAGAAATCCGTTTTTGATCGAAGCTGCACCGATAAAAACTTGAATTTTAATAGTGATGTAAACAATCATTAACTTAAACTTGTATTACATTTCACGCAAACGAGCAACTTGTAAACAATGTTGTTTGCAACAATGGGCTTTTGTATACAATATTTACTAAATTGCATGAAATATGTCAGAACTTTACATATATAATGTAAACTTATATGATATGTGACGCTCCATTTATGTGCATCATACTGAACAGAAAATTACACTACTTTTTCGAACTGTGTGGAGTGTGCACGGGATCTTGAAACATGGTAAATTTTCATGGTATTGTTTATCCGGGATACCTAATTAATTTGTGTACCACAGCTTTCATGTTAAACTGATTCATTTAGAAGACTGTATTTTCAATTTGACGATAAACTAGTGCAAATTGATGCACATATGACTATTATTTGTTAATCTGGAACTTGATATATTTATTTATTTTATACCATTCTTATAGAGGAACCTTAAAAGTGAATAATTTAAAATTTTGGTCATTGAATTATTTTCAAACTTTTGCATCTTGTTTCTAATCCTATTGCCTTACTTTTGTCGAAAAAAAGAACTCCGAAGTTCATGCAAGGTCGATAATATTTGTGTTCCAATACCCAAATTTTCAGCATATATTTCTAGATAAATATTTCAAAATGTCCTACCTGCATTGATCGATTCTCTTAATCGACTTTCTCTTTCGTTAATAGCTAAGCTGCAAAACCTTTCCTTGTTGTATTTGACGTTTTGAACGCTAGATAAGAACTTTATATATCAAACTATGTGGTAAAAATAGCGTGAACTCTGTTTGCATAGCAGTGGTTATCAAAAGAGAAAGTCGATGAAGAGAATCGATCAAAGCAGATAGGACCTTTGAAATGTTCATCGAGAGTTGTCCCATTCGTTAAAACAGCAAACTGGCAAAAACGCTGTTGAAGATAAGTAGTTTTGATATTTTTCGCGACATTCTCTGAACAAAGTAGGACATTTTTCGTGTAAATTGTAATGTGACAATCGATTTCATTGCATAACTCATTTTCGCCAAAAATGCTGATAGGAATTTTATGCCGCACAGGGCAGTTTAGCAGTTGAAAATGTTTCTTTTTACCCCATATTTCCCTACTGCATTTTATTTTTTCTGCAAAAACCGAATAACGTTGACGTTTAAAAAATTTGAACCTTTCATTGGAAAAAAAATGGCGCAGGTGTTTTTTTCAAATGATTACAGAAGTGCAATTTGTTTTCTTTGTTATACTACCGCTCATCGCAAGTCGGTTCCATTTTCGTTTTTTTCAAAACTGAATTTTTCAATGGAAGTGTTAGCCATATATTCATTATACTGCATGAACTCAATAACTGTGTTCGCGAAAAGTTTGGAAAAACATGCTTCTTATACAATGGTACGAAGCAAACATAAGACGCTTTTTTTTCGGCTTTCTGATTTGGTATATGGGACTGACTCGCCCCTTCTGAGACGTCGAAAAAAATTTCAACCGGGAAAATTTCTAAACCGGACCGGGAATCGAACACAACTGTCTCCAGCATGGTCTTGCTTTATAGATGCGTCTTTACCTACTGAGCCAAGGGACTGAAGGGAGCCCCCTGATTAATGTGTACTATTGTAAACATTGTATGCAGTCTACTTTGTTTGACGAAATAAATACATAAATACATGAATAAATAATGTAAAATGTTATTCACCAAGGTTCTGTGAAATTAGTGCAAGAAAAGTTTGATCCAGGGCTGACAAAATCTGGAAAGCACACGTTATTTTTGAAGGTAACTTTTTTTTAAAGTGAATGCGCCTAATAAATATATCCGTTACAATGCGTTACGTTATTTGTGCACGAAGCCTAAAAAAAGTCGCCATTATACATAGAGTGAAGCTGTGTTGTAGCTTATAAACTAACGCATGGGAAAAAAATCTAAATTTTACTGGTGATATAAAAATCTATGCATGCAAAAATTGATGAATATAAACCTTATTTTCATGTAAACCAGCAACTTGCAAGAAATGTTGCTTACAAAAATGGACATGACATGTCTCATAAATTTACACTATCTATAATTTAATCTTGTGTCCTTATATCAACTGATTTCAATACCATTTGTTTGTCAGTTTCGTTTTTTGTAAAACATTATTTCCATAATTACGTTTATAAGCGACAAATTTACCCTCGGTACTATGCAACAATTTAGTGGAATTTAAATTTATTGAATTACAGCGTTCGCTATTTGATGGATTTTAACCCGTTAACACCCAAGTCGTTTTTGGCCTCCGGACAATGCGAGATTTTTCCAGGAATTACCCAAGGATTATTCTCACTCTATTTGCAAACAAAATGTTTAGGATATTCCAAGGATCATTCTATTTATTTATTATATGTTATCAACAGACAAGGTGTCCAAACGATACGAAGTTATCTTAAAACTAACAAAAAATGTATTTTAAGAGAATCGCGTGACATGTCAAAATCAAACACTGAGGAGACTCGATTGAACGTCCCGAGGGCGATAAGCCGTTAGTTCTTTTGAGTGGAATCCTGAGAAGAGAGTTGCCTCGGGGCACACGGGAGCGAGCTTGAACATTAATGTTGCCGAGCAGGACAGGGCAATTTATACGGTCGGTTAGAATATCAGCGATGACAAGTGTCTTAGCCACCTCACGTCGTGTTTTTAAGGAGTCCAGCTGGATCATGAGGCAACGGCTCTCGTAGCTCGGTAGATTAAAGGGATCCCTCTAAGGCAATCTTCGAAGGGCGTATCTGATAAAACGCCGCTGTACCGACTCGATTCGTTCAACACCATTTTGGAACTGAGGGTTCCAAACTGGAGAAGGATATTCCAATGTCGTTCGTACCAGGGAGCAATATAGTGATTTCAGGTAGTATACATCTTGGAACTTGCTACCCGAAAAATGAAGCCAAGGTTTCGTGACTATGTAAGACAAATGCAACGTGAGTTTTTTTTTTGTCAAGAATCACATAAAAAATAGCCGAAGTTTAACTGGGTCGTCTTTCTCGAAAATATGACTACAGTACATTTACTGGGGTTTAAGAGCATGCAATTCATCTCACACCACCGTCTAGTGATATTGAAAACATAAATTATGTTCCCAATTTCTGTTAAGACATGATGTAAGAAAAAAATGCTCATCTATAAATAGATCACTGAGGGTTAATGGGTTATAATGAAAAAAACATAAAAGACCAACACAAATGAGATTCAGTTTATCTACCATAATTCTGCAACATCAAAATATAATAGGTGTTAGTCGCACTTTGAAGCATTTTAAACCGTTTTTTTAATGAAATGCATTTTATTCAACGAAATTTCGCATCGCTTACCGTAAATAAGCATTATTCAATAACCGAAAATTAATTGTACATGATCGGATCCTAATTTTGAATGGGATAGGAGTTGAATTTTGATTTTTTTTTTCAATTGAATCTTCAATTAAGGATACTGAATGTCACGTATTTTCATATCTTTGAATATTTAATGGAATGTATAATAATTTTGTAAATATTACTGAATTGTGCAACAAAAACTATTTCGTAGTCCTACGTCAATAATGCGGTCGTACGTAGATTGGAAAGTTTCAGGTTGTGGCTTCTATTCTATTCTACTTGACAAAATAAATTTCAATCTGTCAATATATGTTAGATCATATAGAAGGGGTGTTCCTGGTGTTTAATCATTTTTTACCACACATTATTTAATGTTTCTACCTAAAAAGTACAATTTGTTTTTAATATTGTATAAATGATCTCCGTTTTCTGAGCACATTTTTTTACACTCCCAATTGTTTGCTTTTCATCCCGAGTTTTAAACCGAGAATGAAAGGAAAATAATAGCTACGTACATACCTATCATATTGTTAGCTCTCCCCATAATGAAATACCTGCCTAAAATGTTTGTTGAGACATTATTTTTTTCTAATTACTCTTCTGGTCAAAACAGCGTTACCGTAGAAAAAAAAAAAATATTTTCAACCTACCAAATCCCACTTCAACGCAAGAATCATTCATAATCGTATGTCTTTATGATCCCAAAACATATAAATAAACAAGCAATCAAGTCTGCAAACAGCTACAACTATTAATCTTAGATATAATTACCAGCGAGTAACATTGAAAAGTTACCGAATGATCCACCGGAGGACCGATTCAGATAGTCGGGTGTACTTTTTATATCGATCATAATTCTGCTGCTGTCGTCGATACTATTTTCTCGTGGCTTTCCAGTTTTCAAACGAATTTTGAAGGCTTTTTCTTCGAACCGTGCCGTTTCTAGGCCGACCGTTCCGCTGTGGTCAAATCCACCGTCGGTTCTTCCAAACTTTGCCAGCGTACTTCCGTTACACTTATCTATATCACTCGTTCCGTATCACGTTCAGAATCAGGACATTGCATATTCCAATTGTTCGTCCTCACTCTTTCGCCAAAGTACTTCCGACGTATTTCACTTTCACTTGCCGTGAGGCGACCACGGTCGAATCGATCAATAGCTGTGACCCGCGCGCGTTTCTTCGAGAGGAAAAACAATCGAAATTATTCACTCCTTTTCCGCGTCCGGTATCCTCCGTCCCTCTGAGCCAAGAAGCTGTCACACTCTCTATTCACGACACAACTGTTGACAAAAACGCGTGGAATACAATCAATTTTGTCGGTAATTTTTCTTCACTCACTCGCTCTTTCTGTTGCTCATACCTACTCCCAAAGGTCTCGATATTGTTAGCGCACCGGTTGATAGCAGACATAAAAATACCTCCACACAAGCACGTCCTTACCGCTTGCCTTTAGGGCTCCCTTGGGTCTTTCAGTTTGGCTGGCTGGTGGCCACAAAAAAAAAGGAATTATTTATTTAGGGGGCTGCCGTCCGTGCTGCTGTGAGAAGGTCTCTTCTGGTTTACTCAGTTCCGAAAACAATAGACCACAGCAAGCGGTGTCGCCAATGTGTGCGGTGATGACTATGGCGACAAAAAAGGTCACGAAAAGTGTGTATATCGGAAGAGGAAAAGGAACGGGAAAAGTGACGATCGGAACCGGTTAACGTTACCGGACACCTCTATTTCCGGGCACTGTTATTCATCCACACTGGGCCAGCAAGCACACAACACAAATCTCGCTTTCTGTCTCACTCTCGGCGGGCTCAGCAAGTGTTGTGCCTCCTGTTTCTGGATGGGGGGTTTGGCCTCAACAGACGACCTGTTCCTGTTGCAATGGCGCTTGCCGTTGTGATAATGTCTGTATTGGTGCTCCAAGGTACGTGAGACAGTGGCGTCTGCGATGGGAGTCGGACGGATACAGGAGGACCACACAGACACACTCAGTGCTCGCCACAGGAATGATAGCGCGACTACACGTACATCCGGGGTCTTTTCACCACACACTGCGCCAGCTGTTTCTGGTTGCACAATAGGAAGCGGTACCACTACAAGCCTCCCTGGACAAAGGCTACTACGATGTAGATTTTTTCAACGACTCCTTTTTTCTCCTGCTGGTCAGTGGTTGCAAGAGCCGATATCGTTTCTACATTTGCATAAAAACCAGTTGAGCGTGAATTCCAACTTTTGAGCTATATCCGGTGATTGAAAAACTATTAAATCGTATCCGGAACACGATTCTTTCCGTCCGGGAAAACAACGGTGGTTTCCACTAGCGTTATGTAACGATCTTTCCTTCTCTAAACAATGGTAAAAATATTGCTGTCGATAACCCGATCTATCCGAAACTTCCTGGCTTGTGTTTTCTGTTGGAAACTTGAGCGAGTTCTGCTGTCGAATGTGTGCGACGTGCCGTAACGCGCGGAGACAACTAAATGCGTTCCATGTGTGTGATAAAACAAAAATCCTTATCCGCTGTTTCCCTTCATCGGTATAATCGACAATCGGATCTCGGAAAAGCACGGCACCCGAAAACAAAAACAACAACATACATCGACACTCCGAGACACCACCGACAGAAACTATCCGCTTCACATTTTAATTTCTTTCTTTTTTTTTCGAGGGAAATGTTTTACAGCAAGGATAATTGAGCCGACTATAATACCGATTTGGGTGAGTACGGATGCATGGCTGTGTGCGTGAGGGAGAGTGAGAGCGAGAGGAAACATGAGAGTGAGAGTTCATCCTAGCAATCCACAATGTGCAGCACCAGTGAAGTGTAAGTGTACGCGTGACTCACCGAAGGCGGAGCTATAAATTTTCCCTAGCAACCACCAATCGCACCGGTCATGTGGGGGTATATGTGTGTCCGGATCGCAGTGTGCCGTGCGTTCTTGGGGGAGGGTGAGAGCATAGATAATGTGCATACTTGTGTTACTTTTGCTGCGTTCTTCGGAACAAGGATGCGGTTAGGGGTATGGGCAGGAAGAGTGCAGTGGTTGAGTTTTCCGAACTTGGCACGAGCACGAGCTGAAGAATTGCGCGGAAAAGAGACGGATCCTAGAACCACTTCCTTTTTCCTTCCTTTTCCTTTTTCCTTTCACATCAAGGATATTTGTCATTACACACCCTCGTCACTGTTAGAGAGTTTTTGTCGGTTGGTTTGAACGTGGATATGCGCAACAGAGTGTTTTTATTATTGCTAGGCAGACAGATACGAAAGCACCGGGTGTGAGTAGGAGGCGAGGAAAAGTTATATTTTATCTAAAATACAAGAAATGGTTACTAATTCAATATAGGGTTGGGATGTCTCGCTGGTCACGCTGTTGTGGAGTCTTTGCCATGGGGCAGCTTGATGTCGACTGAGGCCCGAATCCTTGCGGCGAATAACTTTTATATGAGTTGTAGAGGGTTTGGCATTCTGGAGAAGTGTAATAGGCACGGTGTTTGGCAGAGCGTTTTGTTGGCATGCAGAATAGCTAACATGAATTTCGGCTCAACGTTCTCCGCATAGCTGGACGACATTGCCACCACCGGGGTGGAGTGGAGGAAAATTGAATTTTCCGTTCTTCAGTAAGCCTGTCTGAACTTGAGAGGAAATAGTAAATTAGTTTATTTGGCTTCTTGATGCCAACATGTCTGGATAAACGGATTACCTTTCTTTTGAGGAATGGTATTGTTTTATATCAAACCGAAATGAATAAACCAACGGTTCAAATGGAGAAAAATAATGATAACCTGACGGCTTATCTGTAAGACTAGACAACAAAGGCGTTGTTATATGTAAAATAAAACCAGCGAGTGGTGGGATTGATTCCCGATTCAGGTTAGGATCTTTTCTCGTTAGAAATGTTCTGCGTTTTTTGGCAAATGAAGACTAAGTTGTGGACATTCATGATTCATTTTGGATGTAATAGTTAGCATCGCATAATAAAACGCAAGCTTTAATTTTCAGTTTGCATGAAAGAAAAGTGTTGAATCAGCGATGGATATGACTAGGGCAATCAGCATTTTGCCTTGTGAGCACAATTCAAACTGTATTAACTGCTGCTTGAACTGGTGCTCTAATTTTTAAAGATAGGGGAAATGGATGTAATGCATCCATTAGCAGATTTTTAGCGATGGCCCCAATCTTAGATCCATTGGCCAACAAATATTAGCCATTTCCCCTATTAAATGTTTTTACCTTGGGGATGAGTACTTAAGGGGGTTAGGTTTTTGATAAGTCTTTAGTGGAAATGACACTGATGAAGACTGCACATTGAAGTCGATAAGTCTAATCTATAAGTGACCTACGTTTTTGCGAATTTGCGTTTATGGAACTCAAATATGAGTCACACTCAACGGGCGTGTAATTCCCGAAAAAGTGTCCGATAGAATATGGATATTTTTTAAACGGAGATGACGAGTGGAGGTTAGAAGCAGGTGACCCCGTGATTTATGGGTCTATGGTTTCCGAAGAAGTTTCAGGAGATCAATGTTCAGAGTCATCTTGGAATTCTAGAGTTTGATGATATTATAATATTCCCTATTCAATTCCCCAGACATGTTTAAATCGTGCAGTACATTTCAGTTCACTATTATTAGCGCCTAAATACTTAGAAAACGCGTGATATTGCTAGTATCTCCAGTATGTGGGGAAAATCGAGCAATACGGACAACTCAAGAGGTCATCCAAAATGATGTCTTCCCTATTCAATTCTCCAGACATGCCTATTTGAAAAAAACGCGTGATATTTTTTCCAGTTAAGCTAATTTGTAGGGTTCCTAATTAATTAAGCTTTTTGGCTACTTGTTCCCCACTGTGCAGAGATTTGGATCATGCCATTTTTGAGAGACCGGTGAGATCATTCCATATTCATTTTGCTGGTATGTATGCAAATCCATTGATAATGCAGACATGGTTTTCTTCGTATTACCGCTGCTAACCAGAGCACATTAATTTGTTTTAAATCGTAACCAGCATACTGTTTTAATAATTTGATGCTCCTGAATCCAAAATTTGCGATCAAAAAACATGATTAAATTATTAACGCAATTGGGCGTATTTTAGTCATAGATGTCGAAAATATATTTTCGTTTTAAAATAGAGATTAAGTGATGTGATAATTTTGTTAATCAAAGCTATTAAATGATTTAAGGTAATTTTATTGTATGTTGTGATAGCTATCACCGTTAAAAAAACGAAATAATGATGCCACTGAAATTAATTATTCATATTTATACAATATCTAGGAAGATCAATGTGTCATGTTTTGGTAAAAAAATTAAAGTTTTTCAACGAGTTTTCATCTTCACCGCTATACACGATATTCAGTTCTTGTCGAAATATCCTGATATTTTGCATTTGAGGCTTAAATTTATCAGCGATTCATGAAAAATGATTTCACTTACGACCGGCTTCGCCCACTGCGCAGTGGGAATTGGATTAAAGACACAATCTTACATACACACACATTTATCCGGTATGAGCAACCCAAAAAGATAGCTCCTTTTTTTTTATTTTCCCATGGTGCCAATCAAGAAAACCTCAGAAAATTAAATCTCTAAACCATGTACTATCGAGATTCTGGTAGTATAGTCTGCTCGTTAACGATTTTTGTAAAAAATAATAATAATAAATTTTATCTCACTTTTCTCTAAATTGAATAGATCTTTTTCTAAGTTTGATAATGTTTTAGAAATCTTATTTTATAAGCTTCCAAATTACTTATGAGTGGTTATACTTGAATATATGGAAATGGATGTAATGTCGGCCTAAATGTTCCTAATTTGGGCCCATACATAAATTCAGCAATCGACTATATTTGAAATAGCGACCAAAATATCCATTAGTACCGTCCCAATGACGCGTTCATCCTGATAAAATTGATTAATAGTAGATTTTTAGCGATGGGCCCAATCTTAGATGCATTGACCAACATTAGAGCCATATCTCCTATATATTTTTTTGAATTTAATTGTTTTTAGTCAAATGCACTATACAATACAACAATATTACGCTTTACATTAAGGACAACCATTTCGATTATCCTTAGGATGCCTAGAAATGGTTAAAATAAAATGTGGGTCGCTTCCATGAGCTACCGAGCTTGCGGTTACTTGAAATACATGGAAGGGGGTCATTTTTTTTTTATTTACGTCGACTATTCGACCCCTTTGTACTCGACATAATATTTTTTTCAAAAATATTCCTTCACCGTTTAAAACAAAAATGTCAACGATTGTATGACAAAAGGTCGAAACGACAAAAGGTCTTATGATGAGTAAGGGGACAAAAGGTCAAATGAACAAAAAGTCGAATGATGAAAAAGTGGATAATAAATCGAATATACAAATGGTTGAATGGACGAAAGATCGAATGGACAAAAGTTTGAATGGACAAAAGGTCTAATGATGAAAAGGGGAACAAAAGGCCGAATGGACTAAAGGTAGAATGATAAGAAGGGGGACAAAAGGTCTAATGGCCAAATGTCAAATTATACAAAGAGGGACAAATGATTGAACGATTCAAAGAGGAACAAAATAAATTGGTCGGCTGGCAAAAAGTATAACGGCAAAACGTCAAATGGAGTGAATATCTGATGATTCAAAGAAGGACCAAAGGTTGAATGATGAGAAGGAGAACAAAACGTCGAATGATGAGAAAGGAAACAAAAGGTCAAATGAACGAAAGGTTGAATGATTCAAAGAGGGACAAAAGGTCGAATGGTGGTCATTTGCACACTTGGCCAGTAGAAAGAAAACTTTCCAGGCTTAAGACACCGTTACGTTGAATATTAAAGGATTAATCATCAAAATCGATACATTTTTTGGTTATATGAAAGAACGATAAATGATTGGAGGATGTTAGTGGAGCCCGCATGGACCGAGGATGCGATATATCGAGCTGTGGTACAATGCAAGAAAATGGAGAAAGAAAAATGTATTGTGTTTTACCCAAGTAACCAACAAGCCCGCAAATTCGCCTTTTTGCAATGTAAGGCTAATATGCTTCTAATATAAAGCATAGCATGCCCTATGTTAGCCGTGTATCGTGGGTAGTGAGTGAAATTAATCATGTCGAAAAAAAAGGTTGCCGACTGAGGGACTCGGAACCACGAACGTTGCGATTATCAGACCTGTGATTTCTCCACTGTTCTCATTTCCTCGCATACTCGACTTCGTTCACTTTTCTGCTGGAGAGAATCGAGGCAAGTGTGTGCGTCTTTCTACCATGTTATACATACTTGCTTGTGTTGGTGAAAGCATATATAGAACACGGAATAAAAAAAGATTAAATATCATTGGATCATTCGCTGCGATGTTCGTGAACAAAGGAAATTAAACTGATATTAATTGTAATAACATTATTGGTTTGCGTGTATGGAGAGCATTAAATATCTTATGTTCGACGGCCCCGCCGTAGTGGTTAACATCCATATTT